CACTGCTTGGGCCACACCGACGCAAATCTGCCTCGCCGCCACCTGCAAGCGAGCTTGGGGCGGGGCCTCGCTGGGATGGGGCGGCGCGGCGGGCGCGGCGGGGCGGAGCCGTGGCGACGCGTTGGCCGCGGGGAGGGAAGGCCCGGGTCGGGAGAGGTGGGTCGGTGGCGGGCCAGGAGCGGAGGCCGGCCCCCGCTGCGGCTCCGGAGGCGCCCAGGGCTCCGCGCGCTGGCGCCGGGCGGGGCCGTGGCGGCCGCGGCCTTTAAGCGCCCGGAAGGGCCGAGTCTGCGCGCTCCTGGGGGCCTCGGGCTGGAGGCGGGAGTGCGGCGGGAGGGGCTTCGAGCGGGTCCGCTTTTCGTTTCCGTTTTCCTCCTTTTCTCAGGCTCATCCCCAGACCGGAAGGTGCGGGGGCCGAGCGACACACAAACCCACCCACTCTGACCCCCTAGTGTTGGGCCACGAGGGCGCCCATTCGTCTCCGGACCCCGCCCATCAAAGCGGTTTCAGGGTACGCCTGTATGGATATAGCTCCCCAAGGTGAAAAGTTAGCATTTAGGCGTTTTGAAGTTGGTACTTGGGGGGAAGGAGAAACACTCCCGTGGGGCAGAAGAGATTCCAGAGGGAGAGCCATAAGGAACGCACAGGCCCTCACCCGAGGAATGCCTTTTTTGCTCTAGGCCCGTGGCGTGAGTTTGCCAGGCCCTGGACCCCTGCTTTTACCCCTCCCGGAGTTCCGCATAGCCGCCCGCAGAGCAGCTTCGGGGCCATGCCGATGTGACCACTTGAAAGCCTTGCATCCTGATTTTTTTTTTTTTTTTGGTCTCACATCTAGAACCTCGACTCAGTGACGCAGAGCCTTTCAGGGTTGGCTACAAGCCAAACCCCAGCCTCCCGATGCAGCCTGAATCCAGCCAGTGTGAAGAGGAGACCCCTTCCCTCTTGTGGGGTTTGGATCCTGTGTTTCTAGCCTTTGCAAAACTCTACATCGGAGATATCCTGGACTTGAAGGAGTCCCGCCAGGTACCAGGTATGTCGCTGGTGGGCCTGAAGAATGCCCAGTGCTGCACCTGCACCTCACCCTTCTTTCTCCAAAGCTGCAGGAAGTTGGGGCTTAGTGGCTTTCAGGAGAGCCTTCCTTGCTGCAGGCTCTGAAAATGACCTAGCGTGGACTCTCGAATGAATACATTTCTGTGCAAGTTAAAAAAAAGTCTAAATCTTATTTTTATTTTTAAAATAAAAGCTTGGGAAAGTAACCTTTGTACCCAGGAATGGTTTTTTTGTTTGTTTGTTTTTTGGGTTTTTTTGTCTGGCGTTGAGGTCTTTCATATTTTAACATGCTCAGTTATTTTTCTCTGGAACAGCTCTTGGTGGAAAGCTCACTGGACCAGACGTTTCTAGGCCTTGTTCCCTTTCCTAACAGTGCCTCTTACCTGGCCTGGGCATGTGACTCACCTGCAAAGCTTAGGTGTCATCTTTGTAGAAATGGGGATTAACCAGGCCTGATTTTCTTGTGGGGTTTTATTTTGTTTTCAGTTAATCAGAACCAAGTAATATAAACTCACTGAGAGGAAAGACATATGCCTTATTCATCTACATAATTCCACTGCTTAGAACAGTGCCTGGCATGTGGTGGGCCCTCAAAAAAATAGTAATTGGAGCAACAAAGCATTATAAATGTAAAGTAAAAGAAATCATTTTTTTTTTGTTTTACATGGCGGTTACTAAAGATAGGTTCTTCATACCTAAAAACATAACAAATATAATTTGGGGTACATTTAAATAATTTACATAGCTGTGTATGGATCTTCACATGCTTGTGCTATGTGAGAAGTTTGGTTAAACTCTTTGCTATTTTGAATGAATAGCAAGCTGAGTCAGTCAGGAAGCTCAAGTATGCACAGTTTTAATGAGAGGATGTTTTGTGTGTTTCCAGTTCTATGTACAAATATATTTGGATGACCTTATTCTGAAGCCTTTTGTGCAGATTTTTCACCACACCTTGGTTTCCTAATTATTGTTGGAAATGGTCTGTGTTTGGTTTTATGTTTTTTTCTTGGAAGGCAGCCGTCCTCCCCCACAGTTGTCCATTTTCCAGAACAGGCTGGTATTCTCATAGCTCATCTCAGGAAGAAAGCAATTCACACCAAATGCCAGCTTTGCATTTGAAAGAAAGGTCTTATGGAGGTGCTCAGGGAAATACCAGGGCATGATAGGGGCTTAACTCTTCCTGTGGGTAAAGGACTTTATGATATATAAACAGCCAACCAAGGAAAACGGATCCTGATGGTCTTTACTAGGTCACTGGTAATACTGTTTCAGATGTGCTTTTGTTGCCAGGTGGACTGGGGAGACTTCTGACCCCGAGGCCTCCATCCAGCCCTTCCCAGGGATGTTGCCAGAGGCTCTTGGTCTCATTGCAAGAAAGAATTCAAGGAGAGACTAGACACAAGGGTTGAGCGGTGCAAATCGGAAAGTTTATTAAAGTGAGAGTACCCTCTCGACAGAGAGGGAGACAAACCGTAAAAGACTCTAAACTTTAGGAATCAAACTGAGGGTTGCCAGAAGGTAGGCATGGTGGGGCGGGGGTAACTGGATGATGGGCATTAAGGAGGCATGTGATGTGATGAGCACTGGGTGTTGTATGCAACCAATAAATTGTTGGACTCTATATAAATTGAATTTAAATAAAATTTTAAAAAAATAAAGTGAGGGCACACTCTCAAGATGTGAGAGCAGGAGAGCTCAAGGGAGAGCTGAACCCCAAGTTCTGGGTTTCTGTCTTTTACTGACAGTTGTTAATTAGGGGGTGGAATATTTATTACTTGGGGAGGGATTTTTTGGAGGTGTGGGATTTTGTGCCTTTTCTCCCTTACTTGGCCCAGGTTTTTGGCCTTCTTTGTCTTGAGCCTGTCTGGTTTGATCCAGCTTCTTACGGCTTTGTTTTTGGAGTGCTGCCAGGAGAGGTCTCTGACCTTCCCCAATAGCTAGCCATGACTCCCCCTTTGCTGGCCTCCAGGCATCCTGTTAAAAACCTAACTAACTGCTGACTCTAACAGTTTTTAAAATGAAGCATCATGCCTGAAGCAGACACCAACCATAAATTCACAAGAGTGATCCTCTTGAGATTATACTATAGGGCTCTAGGGGTGGGAAATTCCCCTAGCCTGGGTTTTTATTTCTGTGTTGTTTTCATGGTTGTTTTTGGTTTGGTTTGGGGATAGGGGTTGTCCATGCCTGAAAGAACACCAAGTGATTAGAGAACTGGGATTTCCAGCCAGGTGACATCAGCCCAACCCCTTGGGAAAGGAGAGGGCTAGAGAACGAGTTGTCATGTGGTCAGTGATTCAGTCATGCCTGCGTAATGAAACCCGAATAAAAACTCTGGACACCAAGGCCCAGGTGAATTTTCCTGGTTGGTAATCATACATTGATTTGTCAGGAGGGTGATATGTTCTGTGACTGTGGAAGCTTTGTGCTTGGATTCCTCCAGACCTTGTCCAGTGCATCTCTTTAGTTAGTGAGTCCTGATTTGTACCCTTCATTTTGAAACTATAGTCATAAATCTAATACCTTCCTGAGTTGTGTCCCATTCTAACAAATTGTCAAAGCTGAGAGAGTTATAGGACCCCCCGAAGTTGTAGCCAGTTGGTCAGAAGGGTGGGTGGCCTGAGAATGCCCAAATTCAGGGCCGGTGAGTGAAGAAAGCAATTCTGTGGGAGACTGTGCCCTTAACTTGAAATTTGACCTTACTCTGTGTATTTGCCATCCATCAGAATTGCCTTGCAAAATGGTTGCAAAATGTAAACTCCTCTAAATTAACCTGCAATTTTAGTGTTAAACAAATAAAAAATCTTATGAAAAAATCTTATGAAGTTTGTGGTGGTGGTGGTGGTGTTTACAGGTTTTGGGGTCTTTTTTTTTAAAAAAAAATTTTATTTTTGAGAGAGAGTGTGTGTGAGTGTTGGGGGAGGGGCAGAGGGCGAGAATCTTCAAGTAGACTCCCCGCTGAGCGTGGAGCCTGCCGATCTCACCACCCATGAGATCATGACCTGAGCCGAAATCAGGAGTTGGCTGCTTAACCAACTGAGCCACCCAGGTGCCCCAGTTTTGGGGTCAGTTTTGTTTTATCTTTTTGTTTATAGCATACAGAAATAGTCTTTATTATTCTAAATATCCATGTCAGACTTTAATGGGATAAGTAGTGAATCTGTTGCTTAAATCAAAATACAATATTTATTGGGCGCTTGGGTGGCTCAGTTGGTTAAGCAACTGCCTTCGGCTCGGGTCATGATCCTGGAGTCCCGGGATCGAGTCCCACATCGGGCTCCCTGCTCAGCGGGGAGTCTGCTTCTCCCTCTGACCCTCTTCCCTCTCGTGCTCTCTATCTCTCATTCTCTCTCAAATAAATAAATAAAATCTTTTTAAAAAATACAATATTTAATTCTAGAGGGTCTGATGAAGTGGAAATGGTATATTCATAAGAATTATATGAAAAATAGTATCTTCGGCATTTGAGTACTATTGGACATCAATTAAATAATGACAGACTAAAAAGAGATAAATCAAAAGTACTTTTAAAAAAGAGAGGAACCAGGCGAATGTCTTACCGTGGTGGTGGCTGTCCGGGGATGGGCTGATGTGAGAGCTGAATCAAACCTGCGTGTGTGACTCTGGGTCCCTGAACCCTTGCCGCCCGACCCTCCTCCTTCCTGGGGACCTCATGGCCCGGGGAATCTCCGGGTATGTTTCAGCACCAGGGGGCTGCGTGTGGAACAAAGGCAGCAGGACCTGAAGGACCGCGTGGGGAAGGCTGTAGCTGGAACTCCCCATCAGCCAGAATCTGTTGTTTGGGTGGTTTTGTTTTCTTCTTTTAAAAGATTTTATGTATTTATTTGACAGAGAGAGACACGGTGAGAGAGGGAACACAAGCAGAGGGAGTGGGAGAGGGAGAAGCAGGTCTCCCTGAGAGCTGAGCTGAGGGCCTGATGCGGGGCTCGATCCCAGGACCCCGGGATCACACCCTGAGCCAAAGGCAGATGCTTAACGACTGAGCCACCCAGGCGCCCCATTTGGGTTGTTTTCTGTTCTTTGCTTCCTGAGCTTTCTTTCAATCAACAAAGCTGTCACCCAACTTTTTTTTTTTTTTTTTTAGCTCTTTTGTCATAGAAGAGAATCTTGTGTTGATAGGAGGAAGTGGTCCTCTCCGATTCTTGTCCATGCCTCCGGCCGCCGTCTGATCAATTGCGCTCCTGATACGTGTGGTTCATGTTTCTCTACACATGGACATGTGTCTTCTCTATTTCCAGGCAGTGTGTTTTCTCCTCAGTTGATTTTCTCTGAATTTTTTTTTTTTTTAAGATTTATTTATTTATGAGAGAGAGAGAGCATGAGAGTGGAGAGGGTCAGAGGGAGAAGCCGACTCCCCGCTTAGCAGGCATGACCTGAGCCGAAGGCAGATGCTCAAACGACTGAGCCACTCAGGCGTCCTCTCTGAATGTTTTGATTCGACCCATGTGTTATTTTCTTCTGAATTTGTTCTCCATTGTTCAGAGACGCTTTTGAGATGTTTTCTCCATCAATTCCTTGAGATTGGAAGGATTTTTTGCATCTTTGAGTGACTGTCTGCCCTTGAAGGCCGGCCATTGGTAGTCTAGAAGACAAAAGTTTAGGGGTTCCCTTTTCTGTGCTTTTTTTGAGAAAGTCTGTTGTGTCCTCAAGTGAAGACCTGTTCAGATTTTTGTCGAGTGGCCTGACACGGTTTGTAACATTGGAGGACTGGCCTCCATCACAGGTGACTTGAGGACCTCACTGGCTTGTGTCATTAGTCCTGTCTTACCACCTTTTTCGTACACTGCAACCCAGGCAGAACACCTTTGCCTAGCTCTGTTTTCCTTCTCAAAGTGTGTTGGCTCTTTACTATAAAAACCACCATAGCAGCACATACCAGGGTGTCCCAGGGAAACCCAAAGAGTCCTGGGACTGTCTTGAGTTTCCAGACATCACCAGCAGAGCACCCCGTAGTGGCTCCAGGACCCGCTGGGAAGACATTTCGGGGTAGGCAGTGGGATCTCCAGCGGGTCCAGGGACCTCCATAGTTCTGCTTCCTACTACTAATGTCCTGGGGGCCACAACTGACCACATGGAACCCTGTGGAGTGTTCTGTCTCTAATACCAAGAAATGCCTGGCAACCAGGGCAGACCATCCATTGAGATGGGGTAGGGGAGGCCAGTCAGGTTCTAGAAAACGGTTCTCTCTAACTTTGCTCTGCCCAGTGCACAAATAGAGTGTTATTACCTGTCAGTGCATTTGGGGAAGCAGAAAGGGCTGGCTGCAGCCAGAGAACAGCCTGGAGCTCAGGCCACTCCAAGCTCCCCCAGCCCTATAGCAGACCCGAACAGTGCCATGTCATAGCTCTTCTCTGCACACGAGCATTGGTCAGGGCACGGTTCTGGGGTACACTTCGGTAGAGGACTCCGTGCCCACATCCCTAGGGGAGGCTCATTCTTGCGATTTAGACTTTTCCTGTGGTCGGGATGTCTGAGCTTGCCTGCAGCAGTCCCGCAGGGCTCTCCCTCTGAAGCCACCCTTTTTCCTTTGCATTTGGTCAGTGCAGGCAGGTGGTAGCAAAGGCCCCAAGGGCCTCACCAAAGGTAGCAACTAAGGGACCTGGATATCAATCCTAAGAACTCAGGAGAAGTCTATTGGAACTCTCCTCTTAAAATTGCATGGATTTTCTGTGGAGCCAGTTTGAACCCACTCACCCTGTGTTCCTGGAAGGGGGTGACCCTCCTTTGGGGATGACGCAGTGACTCCGGCTCCTTTCCTTGTGTCGTCCTGCCATTTCAGCTCATAGCCCCCATGGTTGCCCCGTGCTGCTGGTCTCTAATCCACCAAGTCATTGTTAGAAGGATGCCCTGCCAGGGAGAGGGCCCTTCTTTAGGCTAACTTTGCCACCATTTTTTTCCTTCCAACCACATCTCCCTCTCCTAGAATCTCCACCTGGCTGAGGCTCAGAGCCTCCTTATCCGTCCTCTGGGACTCTCCTTGAGTGACTTGTCCCCAGCCCCTTTATCCACATGGGATACAAGAGAGCTGTCAGCGGAGGCCAGTCTTCTGGGGATTTTGAAGGGCATCAGGGTTCAGGCCACAGGTCTGTCCCACCCCCCACCCCATGGATGTGAAGAAGAGAGGCTCTGACCAGGCTTGGTGGGGAGGGAGGAGGTGGCCAAATGTCTGTGCTGATGAATGTTTGTTTACAGGTCAGATCTTTATTTAAAAAGGAAATTTCCGCTTAAACGGTTACAGCCTCTTTCTGCAAGGAAAGAATTCAGCCATCATGGGAAAAAACATGCTGGAGAAGATTTTAGTGTGGACTCATGAGCTGCAGGAGACAGATGCACATGCAAGTAGCTTACGCCAAAAGGGTCAGGGTGCTGGGGGGCCACAGATGGGAAGCTCTGCAAGGGCAGGACAGCACTGGGACCTGGGGGTGGAATCAGGGACTCTCTGCAGCCCGGAGTCCCTCTGTTTTCCTTCCCAGGTCCAAAACAGGCCTCTGGGTATTGTAAGGTTTATCCTCTCAGGTTTCTCCCCTGGCAGGAACCTGCCTGCTGGTATCTGTCCTCTGGGTTTTGAAAATAGTTTTAAAAATGAGAAGTTTGTGGCGGGGGCACCTGGGTAGCTCCGTGGGTTTAGCGTCCAACTTGACTTGTGGTTTTGGCTCAAGTCATGATCTCATGGGTCGTGGGATCAAGCCCGGCATCAGGCTCCACACTCAGCGGGGAGTCTGCTAGAAGATTCTCTCCCTCTGCCCCTCCCCCCATTCACTAGCACACACGTGCTCTCTCTTCCTCTCTCTCAAATAAATAATTTTTTTTTAAAGAGAATTTTTTGATTTGTAATCTGCTGGCTCCAAAGAGCAGTGTTTTGTAACCTAATTATCTTCTCTTTAAAAAAAACAAAGTCACTGCTAATTCATAGAAATGATAACTGGCTTCCTAGAAAAGTGCTAGTAAAGAAGTCAAAGAAGCCTTTCTTGTGATTTCCTCTCTTTCCTTTTGCAGTCCCTCAAAATAGATTTCTTTTCATAATCTAATGACTGTCTTCAGGCCTGTTGTGAGAGGTCCACAAGGAGGCACATTTCATTTTCGCAAGTGGAAAGAAGATTAACCAAATATAGTTGGGCAACATTGGTTTTCTCTTTTTTCCGTTAGGACAAGCTTCATTAAAGCCAAACTTTCTACTTTGGACCCTTAAGGAAAAGACGTCTGAATTTCTTGGGGCCTGCCATTTGTCAAGGACTGATTTTTTTTTTTTTTTTTTAATTTCAGGTGTATTTTTCTACAATGGGCACCCAATAAAGCAGGTAGAGATCTTGGGAACTGTAATTGGAAGGAGAGAAAAAGATGCTTTCTTCACTTATGGAGGTAAGAACAATTGTGCCTGGCATTGAGTTTTTGTGGAAGGACCTCACTTAGCTGAACATTGCATTTGAAGCAACTACCGCCTTTCAGAGCAGCTGGGGACTCAGAGAGCCCATGCACTTGTCCTTTATTAGGAGCCCCTTGGAGCCACTGACATGGACTAAGTGTAAAATGAGGCAAAAGGTAGGAATGATGCTGATGAATACTGTCAAATGACACAGCTGATGGGAAGTTAGAAAAATTAAAATAGGACCATCTAGGATCTCTGGTTGATAAGGGACGGACACCTGATACCTGAGGGTGTAGCTATAAATAGCAATGGATGGTAGCAGATGTTTATACTGATACCTTTAAAAATAAAAAGGCCAGGTTAATGTTAAGGAAGACTCTTCAAGAAGACAGGGAGGTATGAAAAATAATTGATAAGATTTATATTCAGAACAGTATTTTTAAAAAGCCTTATGGTACTCAGGGGTGAATATCCATTATCAGAAAATTTCCCTTCCCTCGTGATGATACAAACTAAATAAAGGATTTCTATAGTTTGGACACGAGCAATTAGTGTCATCTTGATTTTTGTCATTGAGTTTAATGTGTAAGCATTTTCATCTGTTGCCTTGTGCAGCCCTTAGAGTCTCTACAGTTAAGAGGCCAAGCTAGACATTTTGTGGGAAGCTTAACTTTGGATTCCAAACCTTTGCTGTAATTGACAGTGTTGCTTTCTGTTGTGTTCCCTTGGGTTTGTGTTCTTGCTCTACTTGTGGAAAGAGAGAAGGCAGTTGAACCAGGGGACAAAGAACATTTCACTGGCGGTCTGCATGTGATAGATAATGTATAGTATAGATGCAATATCATTGCATGTCTTCAACACGGATTCATTTCCTGAAGATGATTGTCTCATGCTTGTGAAATAATACGTGACGGGTGAGGTTTCTCATGCCTTCTTCTTTTCCCCAGCATATATTTTTTTAAACTCTGAAATAGATCATCTCAGGCATCCCCATACTGGATCTCTTCTCTGTTTTATTTTACCAGAGGTATTGGTTCTGTTTTTCTCCAGACAATTCAGTTAAGTATTCACCAGTGTCCTACAGCATACTCAGCTGTGGGCAAGTATGTTTCCTATAGTAAAACGAAGTACTTCCTCTCCAAATACCAGTGATGAAGTAATAATTTCAGGTTACAAAGCACTTTTACATGTGAAATTTAGTGTTATTCTCCCCCTAATGTTTTGAAATAGAAAGGACAGATGTTTTTTCCATTTTGTAGATGAGGAAAATAAGGCACAGTCACTTGCTCAAAGTTCCACTGATGGAGGTTTCTTTTTTTTTTGTAAGGTGCTCCTAATTTTCTTTTTTTTTTAATTTTTTTATTGTTATGTTAATCACCATACATTACATCATTAGTTTTTGATGTAGTGGTCCATGATTCATTGTTTGTGCATAACACCCAGTGCTCCATGCAGAATGTGCCCTCTTTAATACCCATCACCAGGCCAACCCATCCCCCCACCCCCTCCCCTCTAGAACCCTCAGTTTGTTTTTCAGAGTCCTGATGGAGGTTTCTAGGCCCAATCTATTTACTGATTCCATTGTGCTGTACAGTCTCTGTATAACTCAATTTGATTTTTCTCTCTCCCATCACCTCACCCCCCCCCCCTGCACCAGAAATCAACTTTGTCTTTTTTTTTTTTTTTTTGCTGGGGACAGTATATTTTATTGATGGTACATGACAAAGTAGGGCTCCCCAAATGCTCCCCTTCTCATGGGGTTCTGGGATGGAAACTCTGTAGAGGTCAGGAGATTATCAGTATGTTGGGGGATGAATTGGGGCAAGGACTCCCCAGCAGCTGAGGTCTCTCTCTTCCTCTTGCTCTCACTGGGGCTGGTGGTCCAAGGGGGCTCTTACTCCTTGGAGGCCATGTGGACCAGAAGGCTCACCACCCAGTTGCTGTAGCCAAATTGATTGTTGTACCAGGAAATGAGCTTGATGAAGTGGTCATTGAGGGCAGGGCCAGCCCCATCATTGAAGGTGGGAGAGGGGGAGTCACTGTTAAAGTCGCAGGAGACAACTTGGTCCTCAGTGTACCCCAGGATGCCCTTGAGGGGACCCTCCGATGCCCACTTCAAAACCTTCTTGATGTCTTCATATTTGGCAGCTTTCTCCAGGTGGCAGGTCAGATCCATGACTGGCACATTGGGGGTGGGGACACAGAAGGCCGTGCCAGTGAGCTTCCTGTTCAGCTCAGAGATAACCTTGCCCACAGCCTTGGCAGCACCAGTAGCAGGACGGATGGTGTCCTGGGCAGCCCTTCAGCCATCACACCACAGCTTCCCAGAGGGGCTGTCTGTGGTCTTCTGGGTGGCAGTGATGGCATGGACCATGGTCATGAGTCCCTCCACGATGGCAGAGCTGTCATGGGTGACCTTGGCCAGAGGGGCCAAGCAGTGGGTGGTGCAGGAGGCACTGCTGACAATCTTGAGGGAGTTGTCCTCCTTCTCATGGTTCACGCCCATCACAAACATGGGGGCATCCGCAGAAGCAGAGATGATGACCCTCTTGACCCTACACTCCAGCTGAGCCCCAGCCTTCTCCATGGTGGTGAAGACCCCCGTGGACTCCACTACAGACTCGGCACCACATCACCCCATTTGATGTTAGCAAGATCTCACTTCTGGAAGATGGAGATGGGCTTTCCATTGATGACGAATTTCCAGTTCTCAGCCTTGACTGTGCCATGGAATCTGCCATGGTGGAATCATACTAGAGTGTGTAGACCATGTTGTTGAGGTCAGCGAAGGGTCATTGATGGCGACAGCACCTACTTTGCCAGAGTTAAAAGCGGCGCTGGTGACCAGGCACGCAATAGGGCCAAATCCGTTTACTCTGACCTTCCCCATCGTGTCTTAGGGCTGCTGGGGCACTGTACCGGAAGATGCGGCTGTCTGTCGGATGGGGAGGAGTAGAGAGCCCATCTGGCCTTCGATTTTCTATTTTTTAGGTCACATGAAAGAGGGTGTTTGAGGATGTTCATCCTGGCCCTAAAACCAGGCCAATTACTGTACCTGTGACGTGAAGGGGCTTCACTTAACCCCTTTCCCATTCTAAAAAGATTAAGGAGATAGGTGTGACTATTCCCCAGTAAATGTTCTCTTTAGGGTGGATGTTAGAAGAACAGGACACATCTGTGGGCAGAGGGAAACCGAAAAGCATCTGAAGGTGGAGTAGTTGAGAGTAGAAAGACCTTTAGTTCTTGTGAGGCCTGTTCGCGGGGAGCTTTGCCCTCCCTGCTACCCTCAGGCCCAGCTCGGCTCTTGGGCCACTGGCCAGGCAGCCACTCCTTGCCATCCTGGCTCCTGCTCCACCTGACTCACCATCGTCTTGGTCTGGGGGGTGTATCCTGTTCCCACTGACTCATTCCATTGCTGAAACAAAAGGCCAGCGCCCCGGGCGGTGCTGCTCAACTGGGGAGGATGCTGTGCAGCTCTGCAAGGATGCTCCCCTCCCGGGGCATTCCAGCAGCCAGCTCTCAGGCTGCCAGGGCCCAGCACCTGCCAGGAGGCCTTACAGACCAGAAAGTCCGAGGGTTTGGTGGCCGTGCCCGGAGCACTCAGAGCACGTGACAGCAGCTCAAGCTCAGACCTAGAATCCTGGGAGGCTACCATCAGTGTCTTCGCATTTTCTAGAACAAATGTTCGTGTGCTCATATTTTTTTACTGTACATGATAAACCAAGATTTTACACTGGCAGAGAAGTGGTGTGCCTAGAGGTGTCATATGTTTGTTTTTTTTTAACTCAGAATGTCCCTATTGATTTATTTTAAAATGATACTCATTATAAATTAAATTTAAAACTGGAGAAAATTTTACTGAAGTACATAAAAATTACATGAAACCCTATAAATAAGATAAAAACAATGTCAATGTTTGGGTGAACATCCCTTCTAATGTTTTTCACTTGTTCCTAATATTGGAGAAATATAGATATGTCTTATTTCCTTGTACTATTATGCATATTTCTTTTAATATTTCTGAAATGAGGCTTACAGTCAGCATGTATATTCAGTGTGGAGTTCCTTTCCAACACTCAAAAAAAAACCTATTTTTGTCAAAATACACTATTTAACGTTTTACTCAAATTAGATATAAGATCTTTTTTAAAATGAGGCATGAATATTTTTTAACAGCAATGAATATAAATCTTCACTATAACTTTTTATTCTCATATGGTATGCCGTTGTAATTTATTTAACCAGTTCCATATTTATAAGCATTTAGATTATCTCCAACTAACAGTATTATAAACAATGTTGCAGCAAACAGCCTTATACAAGATGTATAAATCTGTGTGCGTATTCTGTTTTTCTCTTCAGGAAAAATTTCTAGAAGTAATCACTAAGTCAAAGGGCATATACATTTAAAAATTCAACACGTTTCCAAACTTGCTCTTTAGAAATTTGATGTAAGTTTACACTCCCACTAACAGCATATGAGGGTATCATATTTTTAATGTTTGTCATTCTAATAGTTGAGAAATTATTTAAGTTCTTTCTCCGGTAACTAGTGAGTTTAGGGTACTCACACATGTTTATTTGGCCATTTTTATATCTTCCGTAAATTATGTGTTCTTTTTCCTTGACATTTTTTCTCTGGTGGTCTTGGACTTTATTCATTTGTATGAGCTATTTATTATTTATTTATTTATTTATTTTTATTTATTTATTTATTTGAAGGGGGAGGAGCAGAGGGAGAGAGAGAATCTCAAGCAGACTCAGTGCTGAGTGTAGACACGGGGCTCGATCTCACAACCCTGAGATCGTGACCTGAGCTAAAATCAAGAGTCAGATGCTTAACCGACTTATCCACCCAGGTGCCCCTGTGTGAGCTCATTATACATTAAGATACTAGCCCTATCATTTAGAAAATTGCTATACGGTATTAATTTTTAATTGGTCATCTATATCAGACTTTTAAAAATGAGTTCTGATTTTCAGGTCTGCTTAAAGAAGTCTCTTCCCACCAACTATAAGCCCAAGGTTCAAAACTATTTACCCGTATTTTCTTCTTATCTTTTTAAGTTTACCTGTTTTACATTTAATAAAATCTATTTAGAATTTATTTTAGTATAAGAAATATTTTTCTTGGCTTCTGCTTTCAACACAAGTTTAAACCAGCAATAAAAAATTTGTATTACATTCTGTATTACATGTGCATTTACAACAGCCTCGCTGATGATTTTTTAAAGTCATTAAGCCCACTGATCTCTTTTTTTGAGTTTTCCGAAATTAGACAAAGAGAAAACACCTCTCCTAGCAAACATCTCCAGTTCCTCTGCAGTTACAAATCCAAGTGCAATGGGAATTCTGTGTGTGTGTGTTGCACTAGGGATAAAATAAGCCAAAATTATTTATGTGATCAAAATATAATTATTTTCCATTATGAAAACAAAACTTTGCTCTTCTGCAATATACTTGGCTTTCTTTACGTCCCCTTCAGTGTTAAGGACTGGGCAGAAGCTCATTCACAAAGAGACGTGCGGGTCAGGAAATTTGGGATGCCTTGTCTTGGGAAGTCATCAAGCTAGTGAAAGAGCAGATGGTGAGAGAAGGTTGTGCCACGAGTCCTCTCAACCACGGGCTGTGTCAGCACCCTCTTGCTTCAGGGTGGGAGAGCAAGGCCGATTTTGTATGTGAGCATTCATTGAGATTTTTGTACTTAACTTCCTGAGGACACTTTTTTAGGAGAGGCAGGGTAAGTGAAATGTTGACTACCTTCCTCTAGGCTCTCGAATGCCAGCGACCCATGCAGACAAGCAGTTCCCAGACCGGGCTGTTGAAAAATGTCACTTCGGGGTATAGCCGAATGCAATGACGACCTGCGAATTCACTAGCAGTGCCCAAATCTCTCTTCTGCCCTTTTCTGCTTCTCTTGCAGTGGATGACAGCACTGGAGTTATAAATTGCATCTGCTGGAAAAAGTCGAACAATACCGAGTCTTCATCAGGTACTTTTATTTGACAGTCCTTTACTTTTTTTACCCAGGGTGGCTCATCAGAACAGCTGTAGGGCTGAATGTTCATATTTGTCCACGGGTGAAATCTGTGGATCAACTGCAGATCTGGCTCCTCTGCAGACTGACGTCATAGAAGAGCTAGTTGTGTTTCTTTCTCCCATCTTCTCTGGTGCTCACTTCCTGCCGAGCCTGCAGGAGCGTGACTAGGTTGCTGGGAGTTTGAGCATTTCCTTTTTACCGTGGTAGTTATTAACGGAAGTCAAGTTGTTTTAGCCTAATTGCCAGTGAGGTCAGAATCCCCATGCTCCAGGCGTATCCCTTGACCAAAGAAGGTTTTGGAGATTTTTGCTTTTCTGTGATTGCCACTAACTTCTGTGCTCCCATGATCCAGATTTTCTGAAATCTCAAAGATGTCAGAAATTCTAAGATTGATGAGAAGGTAAAATAGGATTCCTTTGAAGTTAACCACTGAATAATATAAACTGAAAAGAAACTTTTTTTTCTTAACGATTTTATTTCTTAGAGAGTGTGTGATCGAGTGAGTGAGGGAGAGCATGAGCGGGGGGGGGGGCGGAGGGCAGAAGGAGAGGAAGAAGCAGACCCCCCTGCTGAGCAGGGAGCCTGATGCGGGATTTGTTCCCAGGACCCTGAGATCATGAACTGAAGGCAGATGCTTAACCGACTGAGCCACCCATGTGCCCAAAAAAGAAACTTTAAAATTGTATGTTGAACACATTGACTATAACTGAAACAGCATTTGGAATTCCTTGAGTACATTTTAATAGGCCTTAGGTAGTTTTTTTAAGTTAAGTTCATAATAAAAAAAAAATACTGGGCAATACTGGTGATCATTTTTGGTTCTAGAGAAGCTACAGCAATTGGGACCTTGTCTTTCTGTTTGGCAGCATACACAGTGGCACGTGAAATACTGTCTGGTGTCTGTCTCCTTGGGTGATACACGGTGTCTTTCGTCTCTGCCATTACCTGCCAGAAGCTCAGCTTTCTACTTTGACTATCCTGACCAGCGGAATGCTCCTTGGCTTAATTTTCTGACGTATTTACGTTTAGAACTTGGCCATCAGTTTCCTATAACTTCAGTGTTCCGTTTCCTAATTTGGGAACATCTCAATCATTGGCACCGCTTTGCTTGGGATGTTTTGTAGATTAAAAAAAAAATTAAGAATGACAGATTTTTTTTTAGATTTTATTTATTTATTTGACAGAGCGAGAGCAGGAACACAAGCAGGGGGAAAGGGAGAGGGAGAAGCAGGCTTCCTGCTGAGCAGGGAGCCCGATGCAGGGCTCCATCCCAGGACCCTGGGATCATGACCTGAGCCGAAGGCAGATGCTTAATGACTGAGCCACCAAGATGCCCCTGACAGCAGATTTTTATGCAGCTGTTTCAGAGGCAAGAAATAAGCCTATAGGACAATCAGATAATTGAATTTTCATATATGTCTAGGGTATTAAAATCATTTGCAGATTTATGGTTTTTGTGTCATCAAACCTTCAATCAGAGGGTGTTGTTTGAATATATGTCCTTGTTTCAGGCTATGGAGCAGCAGACTTTTTCTGTACAGGGTCAGATAGTAAATGTTTTCTGCTTTGTGGGCACTCTGGTCCACACCTCAACTGCTCAGCTCTGCCATAGTAACACAGAAGCAGCCACACACAGTACGTACAGTAAAGTAAAACTTTATTTACAAAAACAGGTTGCGGGTAGATTTGGCTGTAGCTTGCAGACTCCTGTTTTAGACATTGTTTTAATTTTCAAAATCAACTTTTTTTTTAAAGAATGACATTAGGAATATCGTATAACTCTTATATTTAGTAATTTTTTAGATAAAATGTCTACTGAGAGTGAGATTTTAAAAATATTTGTAAGTAGATGAATAAGTGAACAGTCACAGTGGGTAGCCTTAATTGGAAATTGCTTTGAGAATAAAAAGAGAGGGTAAGAATACAAGGAAAAAGCCCAAAAATGATTCTCGTCGTGCTATATATGAAGTGAGATTTTTAAATTATTCCCGACTAGCCCATTCTCTCCTTTTCATTTAATTGCCCTCAATTTAAAAGCTTTCCCCTGGAACGTGGCCAATGGAGACTAATTTTTTTAAACAAAATTCAGCCTGAGTCAAAATCATGTTGCAGTCCGTTAAGGTAATTGAGAATAAGCTATTAACTCCTGTAAATGTCCTGTTGCGTGTACCATTTAGACTAGCTTATGAGAAAAGTTAAGAAAGCCTGGCCCTTGATACTAGAACTTTAGAGGGGGTTTATCTTTCCAGCGTGGAATAGGCTACTTAAAATGAAATTCTGTCAGGCTCCAGCCATCTCATTAGATTCACCAAATTACAGAGCTTGAGCCTTTCTTTCGGCAGTTTGGCTCACCCTTTCAATGAAAGCTGGGCCTCATTCTCAGACCGGCTGCCAGTCTGATCATTTCAGCAGTGCTGTAGGAAACATTTATTATGACATGTTTTAAATTCAGCCTAAGGACAAGGCTTGAGGGGACAGGAACACAGATGGAATAACCTTTTAAAAAGTAACACCTGGGTATTTTCTGAAGAAAGCCGGTCAGCTGAATACCATTAATGCTGATGGTGTTCTAGATTCCTAGGTGTTGGTGCTCCGTGCTCCCTAGGTTGCTGTTTCTCCTGATAGAGTAGATGCGGTAAAAGAAAAGTAATGCCGTGGCACTTTACAAAGCCACGGTCATCTAAGTTGTATTAGATTAAAAAGACAATGTGATCAGTAAGCTAATAGATTTGTTCATTCATTATAGGAACACTAAGTATATGACAAGCCAGAAATAAAACAAGAGCAGGAAATATATCAGCATTTAACAAATGTTGCAGGTGACTCTGATCCGTATCTTCCAGCTTACATGATAACGCAAAGAAGATGGAGTTGTGTGTTTATGGCAGCAAATAATGGGGTATACGTGTTAAACTCTGATAAGTCCCTAGCTGTTAAAGCCCCGAAAACTATCATCAGTGACAGTGGGATGACTAAACATTTTTTCAAACTTTTATGTAGTAAAATGAAATCCAATAAGCACAGAAAAGCAGTGGAATGGGGGGAGTGGATGTAATTAGCAGAACTGATAGAGCTTCCCTGCAAAAAGACATGAAGGATACATGGAATGCATAAGATGATTTCTCACACGTAAAGAAATGCAGAGAGCAGATCATCTTATATAAAAACACAGAGTCTGTCTGGCAGTTTAAAAGCAAAAATAAAACGTCGTGGAATCATTACGTATTTTTTAAGGTACTAAACATCCACGTGGCCAAAGCTGGTGTAGGAGCTGCAAGCATGCGCCTTGACACCTTGTCAAAACAGAATGGTTTGATTGTTTCTTTCTGGCAAACATTCTGACGATATGTAATGAACTGTAAACCTGTTTTTACTTTTCTGTGCAGTAATTCCCAACAAAAGACTCCAAGGAAAACAATAATTTTGTCTAGAGGGCTTCATTATTCATTTTTACAAATAGCTGACATTTATAGACCATCTCCTGTGGATCTGACATTGTGCCAAGCTCATGATGTAAGGGTTAACTTAGAGCATGTGCAACAACTCTGTGTGTGAGGTGGGCTCTCTTGTTACCCCCAATTCACAGTTGAGGAAACCCTGGTGCCGTGAGGTTAACAGCCTGCCCACAGTCGCAGAGCTGGTAGGAGGTGCGCGGAGATTTCAGCCGGGTCTGACTCCATTACCCAAGCGCTGACCTCTAAGCCCCATCCAGTGCAGGTGATTAAAGCCGAAATAAAAAATTACAAAAAGTGGGGAAAATGGGATGTTTAATGAGACTAGCTCATCACACTGTGGTATATTAACATGCCAGTGCTCCATGATTTTTTAAAATGCTCGAGTTGTATAGATTCTGTGGATACATGTGTGTATCTGAACTTGAGCCAGGCAGAAAATCAGAACATCAAATTGTTTCCACACACTAGCTGTAACTGGAAAATATGAGTATGCTCACAGGGCAGGCAGCAGAGAATAAGGAATAAACAGGAAGGTGCTGGTGTCAGAGACCGCCTGGGTTCAAACTCCAGCTTTGTTGCTAGCTAGTTGCTTTACTTTGTGCAAGTTGCTTGACCTCTCTGTGACTCAGTGTCCTCCTCTATAAAATGGGGCTAATAATAAACAGGTGTAGTTGTGAGGATTAGATGTGCTAATACATCATAAAGTCCTCAGAACAGCACCTATAGTACCCAAATATTCTCGGCTATGCTTCTTAGTATTTAACTAATACAATTTGAAATTAAACTTAAGTGATAGAAATTATGTAGAATTGAAAGTGCATTGGGTTATTTTCACCATGAAGTTGCTTAAGCTTTTAGTTTTAAGTGGTATGAGAATGTGTGTGTGTATGTGAGAGAGAGAGAGAGCGTGCGCGATTTACCCTAGTTTCCCAACAAAGATGAGAGGCGAGAGATTAGGGTGTTGAGTACCTAGGTGGGAAATCAGCCTAAGGCATATTCGCCTTCCCCATAAACAGAACTGCATATGGAGATCTGGGTCCCCTTTTCCCCTGTGCCAGACTTGTCTTCCTACAAGGACACTTTAAAGGGTTGTTGAGAGATGTTGCCACCAAACCCAGAATTCAGCTCAGAACCACATAGAGCCCTTTGAATGCACTGGCAACGCAGGAGCAGGGGAGAACATGTCGGAGCCCTGCCAGAACATTTTCACTTGGGTTACCAGGCCTCCTAGACTCTGTTCCCTTCAGCCTACTTTTGAATAATTACAGCTTATGCCTTCTGTTCAGCAGAGGATTTCAGAAGGATGTGCAGATTTCTTACAGTAGAGCCGCTAATCAGAAGTAGAATGAATAGGTATCTTATGTTGGTCTCACCCCAAAACTGTCTCACACATGTGGTGGAGTGATTGTGTTATGCATTTGTCTCTTCTTGCCCTATAGCTACTACAGCTGCTGCAACTCTAGGGGAGCTGAACTTAACCTCACAGCTTAAGAAGCTGCAAGACACCATTGAGCGGAAGACAAAGATAGAAATTGGGGACGTTATCCAGATCAGAGGTTATGTCCACACATACAGAGAGGAACGAGAGATTCGTGTCACTACTTATTGTAAGCACAAGTTATCTTTGCCAAATTGGTTATTATTCTGGGTGTGTGTCCAGTAAACTCTGGGTTAGCTGAAAGTCAAATGGCGAAAAAGTTCAGGTAAAAAGATGTAACCCTCTACTGGATGAAATTATATTTCATAACAGGCTTTGTTTAGAAAAGCAGCATTTTTAGCTTGATTTTGAAGAGCAGTAACTAGAAATGGGGGAAGAAAACAAATGATTTATTATATATATCTGACAAATTTATTTGGGCCACATCAGAGTTTAAAGTACTTTGAAGTTCTATGTGTCAATCTATTTAGGGCAGAGTGTTCATATTCTTTAAAATGATGGCGATTTCTTGAATACACTGAGTCCATTAACTTTGAAGGAAAGCAGCTAATTGGAAACAGCTATTTCCAATTAGCTGTTGATGAGTGATACGTTTTGCAGGACTCTGGCTGATTTTGGTTGGAAATCCCACGGATGGCCCCTGTTGTTTGCCATTGTAACAGATGAGTGCATAAGCGAATGTGCTTTCCCTGGTTCCAGTCTGCTGCCAGACGGGCCTGTGATGCTGAGGGCGTTGCATTCCCTCTCAAAGGATGACTGGGAACCATTTAGTGCATCTAGGATGTATGATCCTTGGGCACCCATAGGGAAGGAGACCCACTGGGTGCCTAGCAGCAGTTTGGACACGGGAGAGAGCTGATCTCACTGTAATTTCTATGCCATGTTTTCCCCATGGCTTATTAGATAAAGTGGAAGATCCCATGTGTAACATTCAAATCGCGAGGATGCTTGAGCTGCCCAGTATCTACAGGAAAGTTTATGACCAGCCTTTCCGCAGTCCAGCCCTAGAGCAAGAAAGGTAAGCTGTGGCCTCTCACTGCTAAAGATGTATTGATGGCAGTAAGCCAAGCAGCGGGAGCCCAGATGCTGGGGTAGGCCGGGGTTCAAATCCTGAGCTGTCCACACTCATGGAGGGGCTCTGGGCAAGTCCACTTTCTCCCCATGTGGCTTCATTTTCTTACCTGCAAGGTGAAGATAATAATAGTACAGATATTCTAAGGTTCTTGTGAGGAAAGTGTATGTGTAATTGGAGTCCCTGGAGGAGTGCAGGGAGAGAGAAAATGTATTTGAAGAAATAATGGATGAAGTTTTTCCAAGTTTGATGAAAACTGTAAATGCACAGATCCAAGAAGCTCAATGAGCCCCAAGGCAAGAAAGCTGCCATGAAACTTCGCAGTCAAAATACTACACAATGACACGTTATAACAAGAAACTGTAAAAAATGTTACCCATCATTTCCAACCGGGACGATTTTACTTTCTCGTGTGTGTGTGGGGGGGGGGTCCGGGGGCTACAGGAGGACTAAGAATACATGCATACTCATTAGTGTCTGCATCAGAGGACTCTGAGCGGGGGCAGAAAACCAATAATAGCCTCTGCCTACAGGTGGGAACTGCAAAGAGGATAGAAGGGAGGCTTCACTGTGTACCCTTTAATTTTTTTTTTTTTTTTAAGATTTAAAGAGGGAGAGGAAGAGAGAATCTGAACCAGACTCTGCACTGAGCAGAGAGCCTGATGCGGGGCTCTATCTCAGGACCACGAAATCACAACCTGAGCCAAAAGCAAGAGTCGGCTGCTTAACCGACTGAGCCACCCAGGCACCCCCCCCACTTTAATTTTTTTAACATATATATATTATGTAGTCAAACAATGTATGTTAAAAAAACCCAAACTCTAGACCTGTAGAAAGTAACAAAGTGGGAGTTCCCCATTTTCCTGCCTCAGTACCATTACCCCAAGGTTGCCACCATTCATAGGTTGATGCGTATCCTTTTAGACATTTTTCTTCTGTGCATATACAAGCATGAACATTCACCCATATATTTTATGGGTTGTCATTTGCTTTCTTTCTTTTTTTTTTTTTAAAGATTTTATTTACTTATTTGACAGAGACACAGCAAGAGAGGGAACACAAGCAGGGGGAGTGGGAGAGAGAGAAGCAGGCTTCCTGCGGAGCAGGGAGCCAATGCGAGGCTCGATCCCAGGACCCTGGGATCATGACCTGAGCTGAAGGCAGACGCTTAATGACTGAGCCACCCAGGCGCCCCGTCATTTGCTTTTTAATAAAAATGGGAACACAGCTTATATACTATTCTGCAGCTTGACTTTTTTTTCCCAGATCTTTCATGAATATTATAGCTGCTGTGGTCCTGCCTCATCCTTTTAAATGACCGCACAGTGCTCACTGTACGAATTGCCATTTATGTCAAAAACAAGCGTTATTATTGAACAGAGCCATTACCAGAAACAGTATGGTACTGACATAAAAATAGACACATAGTTCAGTGGAACAGAATAAAGGGCCCAGAAATGAATCCACGTTTATGTGCTCAATCTATAACAAAGGAGGCAAAAATAGACAATGGGGGAAGGTTTAAAAATCCTTTTTAAAAAATCAAAATATTAAAAAATAAATAAAAAATAAAAAAATTACAAATAGAAATACCATATGATCCAGTAATTCCACTACTGGGTATGTACCCAAAGAAAACAAAAACACTAATTCAAAAAACACCTCCGTGTTTATTGCAGCATTATTTACAGGAGCCAAGATAATGGAAACAACCTAAGTGTCCATCAAAGGGGAGGAGTGTGGGGGGGGGTGGGGATGGACAAAATGGGTGAAGGAAAGTAGGAGATACAGGCTTCCCGTTATAGAATGAATAAGTCGTAGGGATAAAAGATACAGCACAGGGAATATAGTCAATGGTGTTGTAACGGTGTTGCATGGTGACCGACGGGACCCACACTTGTGGTGAATGTAGCATAGTACCATTACTATGGTACTATGGTACCCCGCAACTTGTCAATTGCTATATTGTATACCTTAAATTAATTTAAAATTGGGTGTCAGCTATACTTCAATCAATCAAACAAACATCAATATAGTGTCACATTTTCCAGCTGAATTTCTGTTTTATGCACACTGAAAAGAAACAGAGGTGATAGTTTTCTGCAGGGCTTTTAAAAACTTTCCCCCAGCAGCGATCCAGGTGCCCTGGACCTTGCCAATCTCACGTGTTTGCTGAGTGAAAGAGCCAAAGAATTCCTCGTGGAGAACAAAGTGCAAACCTTTTACCAGCAGGAATTAGAAATTGTGGAATCTCTGCTGTCCCTTGCCAATCAGCCTGTGATTCACAGCGCCGGCTCTGAGCAGGTAAGTGCTGCATGCCCATGTGAGCATTCAGGTCCCCTGTCCGATATCTGCAGCTCAAGGGTATGGGTGAATAGGACTGTGGCATGAACACTCAGAGGGTAGACCCAGGGAATAGAGGTTCTGGTTCTAGTCCATGTTTCTCCTCTGGAAAGGTCACTGACCACTAAGAATTTGAAATGAGAATGCGCCTGCCCTTTTGCCCTCCTCATTTAATCTCAATAAACTTAATCTTTGGGTAGGGGAGAAAAGTAGTTTAAGGTTCATACTACTTCTTAGTATTCACTGAGATGGGTATTTAATCTCAGCAGGAGCCAAATGAGAGGGAAATAAATGAGAAGAGGTAATTATTTTTCCAAGATTATTCAGCAAGAGGATTCTTTTTTTTTTTTTAAGATTTTATTTATTTATTTGACACAGAGAGAGAATAAGCACAAGCAGGTGGAGGGGCAGAGGGAGAGGGAGAAGCAGGCTCCCCGCTGAGCAGGGAGCCCGATGCGGGGCTCGATCCCAGGACCCTGAGATCATGACCTGAGCTAAAGGCAGATGCTTAACCGACTGAGCCACCCGGGCGCCCCCAGCAAGATGATTCTTGAACCAAAGTTTTTAATGACTTGCTCTCTCTTCGTCAAAATAAGGTTACCTTATTAGGATTTGAATAAAGACCAAGTTGTGTTCAGTCTATTTTATAAGTAAAAATTTCTAGGAGCAATCAAATAATTTCTTACTCGTCTGGGAAAGAGCTGTCCCTTTTTCCCCTCTCATGTTACAGGTGAACTTAAGTTGTTTGGTGTTTATTTATTTGCTTGGAATTAAGAGTTATTTGAAACTTTAATTTTAGGCTTTCCCTTTCATTGCAATTCTCAGGTTTTTTGTTGTTGTGACACCATTTATTTTTATTTATTTCATTTATTCCACCAGGGAATGATCTCTGCTGAAATGTCACCTTCTTGCCCTCCCCGTTTTTGCTCTGATAGCCACCTGCTTCCTCATTGTGTTATCACCCTGTTTTCATACCTCAGGATATCACTGGTATCTACTTGTTTGCCTACCTATTCCTCTGCCAGAACTTAAATTTTACAAGGGCAGAGGTCTTCTCTATCTTGTTCTTTGCTCTCTAGAACCGTGGCCTAGAACAGGGCTGCTATAAACTAAGGTCTTGACAATTATTTGTTGGTTGAAGGAATGAATAGTTTTTAAAAATTTAAATAGTCCCCAAAAGTATCTAGTTAAAAAGTAAGTTTCCTTCCCATCCTCCCTCCTACCCTCTTGCCCCAGAGACAAGCTCCATTACTAGTCTCATGAGTATCCTTCCGGAGAGAGTCTGTGCATTTATAAACTAGGAGTAGTTCTAGCCCCCCCTTTTCTTACACAATTGGTAGCATGCTAAACTCTGATCTGTACCTAGCTTTCCACTGAACTGCATGTCTTAGCCTTTCCTAGCCATACATATGGATTTGCCACTTTAATAATCTTGTTACATGTACCGTAATTTATTTAACTAGTCTCTCCATTTCTGGACTGGTTAGAAGTTTTCCGATCTTTTGTCATTACCAGCAGGGCTGCCGTGAATACCTTGTTAGGTAACATAAGTTACTCCTCATGATTCTAGTGGAACAGACACCAGCTCCTCATCCTGACCTCCTAGGCGATGGCCACTGCGTCTCAGTTTCGTTCACGAACCTAATTATCTCCTGCTGGCCGCAGGCTGTGTGCCCGGTGACCCGCGATGTCATTCGCAGAGACGGAGATAGCATGTCAGGGGACGCCCAGGTGGAGAGGGCCCGGACTGGCCGCTGCCTTCTGCCCTCCTGGGCTCCTTCGCGGGTGGGGTTCTGCAGCTGTCCGCAGGATTAAGCCTCCTCCCATTTAGTCGTTCAGAGGCGGCTCACCACCAAGTTAGCCTCCTAGCACTTGTGACCACTCTGTCGGCCTGTTGGGAAGGAAACAAGCTTAGCAAAGACCACATTGTTCCCGTGAACCCACTCTTCTGTGGGAGCCGCAATTAAGTAGAGAGACTTTTGAGGATTCTCTGAAGGCTCCTCCATTCAAAACGACCATGGGGAACTTTTGGCATGACATCTTTTTGAAAATGCTCAGAGCAGAAACTTGTTGTCTGCCCAGTCAGGTATGTTTAAAGAGAAATGAATGTGGCACTTTGTTTTGTCTTTGGAAACTTTTTCCCATCAATTATGAATTATTCCCTCACACGACTGTGGTTGGGGAGGTCAGCATCATTAAGTTGAATTCTGCTTAATAGAGCCTAGGAGACTAAGGATACTTTCCAGTGATGATGAAACCCTAGATCCTTTGGCACTTTCTGTTGTCATACAGATGAAAGCTTCACAAAAAATCATTGTGATAGTGTTATATAGTTTAGAGGCCAGGGGAGAGAGGGTTTGAATGTCATCCCCCGGCCTTTCTTTTTCCATAGTGGCCCTTCTTAGCAAATCCAGAAACATGATAAGCAGACCTTGCAAAACCATTGTTTCTTTGACAGCTGGATGAATGTAGAGTTTGTTTGAGAATGAAGACTATATATATATTTCAGAGATCCGCCCAGTTCCTGACCTGTGGCTGGGAGAGGCCTGCTCAGGCTCAGCATGTTCAGCCAGTCACTGTTTCTCTGTGCAGTTTCAGTTTCCCGAATAGGATGAGCCTTGTCTTTAAAAAAAGACAAGAAGGACACAAATCCCAGGCCAAACCAAGCTGCTGGCTAGCAGAGATGATTGGAGGCCTTCCCCCTGAGACTGTATCATTAGAACCAGTAGGGAGATATGTTCTGCGGTCAGCCAGGGGAAATGTTTTTGGAAAGGAAGTTTCACATACTGTTTATATTCACAGAGCCTTTTCTGTTGGGTCCTTCTTGTTCACAGCTGAAACTATGCTTTTAATCTCACAGTCCTAGCACACTGTCCTTCTGCTCCCTGAGCTTACAGAAATCTGGGAAGAGGAACTGAGCTTTTTGTGTGGTCTGGGGATAACCCAAGAGTCACTTCTAATGATGGCAGTAATCATGCAACAATCATTTTTAGTCTCCAGTTTATTTCTATCTTTGTAAGAGCCATAATAAACTCGACCCTTAGGATCCTGATATTAAATTTACTGAAAAGATGAATTTCCTTAGAATTGTGAAGATTAAGTGGCTTTAACTGTTTCATGGGAGAGTCTATTTTGGGTTGATTGTGCTTCCCCTAATAAATACAGCTTTCCCTGAAGCCCCCAGAACACAGGGCTGTGTGACTGAGTATTGCTAGGTGAGTTGTTTATTCTAAACACGCTCACATAGATTTTCTGCCCGTGGGAGTCATCACATAGTTCTTGGCCTTATTCTGCCTTCAGAGAACGGATGCTGTCATAACTTGGGATGTTTGTCAACTTTCAGGCCATAATGTTCTAATGACCAGGTGCCTCAGCTTATTGACTATTAATTTAATTAAGAGTTTTAGATCACGATCCTGGAGTCCTGGGATCGAGTCCCGCATCGGGCTCCCTACTCAGCAGGGAGTCTGCTTCTCCCTCTGACCCTCCCCCCTCTCATGTGCTCTCTCTCTGTCACTCATTCTCTCTCTCTCTCTCTCTCAAATAAATAAAATCTTTAAAAAAAAAAAGTATTAGACTGTCCTCTTCAGCCCAGGGGAGCGTGTTTGTGAAATATCACTAGGATCCATTAGATTAAAACAATGCCTCTTTGGAAGGCCTTTTCTAGAAAGAGAGGATTTCTTTAGGGATGCAGTGGTCAATGCTTGAAGCCATTTGGGGGTTTCTTTCCTTTCCCTATCACGTGCAGGAAATGTCATCAGATCACAAGCAGGCTCTCTCTTTCAGCATCTGTGGGTACTGTCCCAGATAGGCTTCATCAACATTTTTTTTTTTTAAAGATTTTATTTATGAGAGAGAGTGAGAAGAGAGAGAATGAGTGGGGGAAGGGCAGAGGGAGAAGCAGACTCCCCGCAGAGCAGGAAGCCCAATGAGGGCTCAATCCCAGGACCCTGGGATCATGACCTGAGCCTAAGGCAGACGCTTAACTGACTGAGCCACTCAGGCGCCCTTTCAACAGCATTCTTCATTAGGGGTAGTACTTTGCCTTCAAATGCTTTTTTAGAAGCTTTGCCTTGTTTCTTTGGTGCTGTCATCTTTTAAGTATCTTGACAATTTTCTGTCACATTAAAAATGGTTGTGTACCTTAAAGGACAGTTGTTCACTACTTTGTTTCAGAAATGGACTGAAAATCCCCAATGGAATAATAAAAAGGATACCTCCTCTATAATGGGGTATTTACTTCCCATTCATTACACAGATATCTTATTAGTTACCCACTGTGTGCCAGGGAGGAGGTGGCCAAGTTGAAATAAAGTCCCCAACTCAGTAAGCTTACAATTTAGTTAACCATGGTGGGACATAGCTGAAGGCCCAGCTTCCTTGGGAACAAGAAATAGGATGAACTGGTAACTGGGTAAACCCGTGTCTTAGAGGAGAAGTACTGAAATTGAGGAGATAGAAAACTGAGAGCGGCAGAGGTTCCTTTCCATGCGGTCTGGGACCCCTCCGCCTTCAGCCCCATGGACCCGCCTCGGACAGACAGGTCTCCATATGGCTGTTTGCCTCCATTTAAAATAAGGACACTACTTAATACTTTGTACATCCTAGAATCCCCAACTTTATTTCAGTATGTGTAAAATTCTCTGAAGTCCTTAGGAAGAGATTATATATGGCCATAATTTTAATGAAAAAACTGAGCTAATATACATGTACAGTGTTTTGGCTCTGAATTAAAAAAAAAAACAAAGATTATCTTTTTGTTAAGGAAACTAATTCTACCAAAAGCAGCATGGGAATAGAAGTAATTTTAAATGTTCAAGACATATAAACTACATACTCCAAAGATTGTCTTCTTGATTTTCCATTTCATGCTGTAAAATCGAACCAAATCACAGCTAAGGTATGGAACAGTTACCAAGCGCGATCCTACCCAGGCAGACTTCCCAGGCCTATTTAAATACCATCCTGCTAGGCCACACACCTGGATCATTTTGACTCAGCAGAGAAAAAGCCTGTTGGGTGAATTCATAAACCAGTTGGTCCAGGGAGTTACTCTTAGATGTTGTAAGATGGGACTTAACTTCTTTTTCTTTTTCTTCTTCCTACAGGGGGATTCTAAGAATGACACCACTTCCAAGGCAATTCATAGTATATTTAAGAATGCAATACAGCTGCTGCAGGAAAAAGGATTTGTTTTCCAGAAAGATGATGGTTTTGATAAGCTATACTATGTAAGAGACCTGCAACTTTATTTTTTTTCCTTCAAAGCTTCGATCACTATATTCATTTGTTAGGAATACCTATTTACTATTTTTAAAATTCATTAAGGACGTTCATAAAATGAGTGAAAGTCAGCCCTTCTCTTTCCCCAAGGTGCCATTTCTTTTTAAAGATGTTATTTATGTATTTTAGAAAGCACAGGTGGGAAGGGGCAGAGGGAGAGGGAGAAAGAATCTGAAGCAGATTCTGTACTGGGCGCAGAGCCCAACGTGGTGCTTGATCCCATGCCCGGGAGATCACGACCTGAGCCAAAACCAGTCGGACACTTAACCCGCTGAGCCGCCCAGGCGCCCGCCCCCCACCCCAGCTGCCATTTTTAACAGTATGTCCTTCTAGACACTTACTGTGCATTTACAAATGTACACATATAGATGCTTCTGTGGCTTTTTTGTTTTCCCCCCAAAAGTGATCATCCTGCAGATCAGGACTTCTCAACCTTAACACTGGGCCAGATGGTTCTTTGCTGTGGGTGGCTTTCCTTTGCATTGTGGGAGGTCTAACAGCATCCCTGGCCTTCATTCATTAGATAGCGGTAGCAGCCCCCTGAATTGTGACAACCAAAAATGTCTCTGGACATCGCCAAGTGTCCCCTAGGGCAGTTGAGAACCACTGCTGCAAATAACGCCCGGCAGTTTTGGGGGGTGGGGTACCAAAACAGCACATCACAGGCATCTTTCCATTTTAGTACTTATAAATCTCCCTCAATCTTTTTGGCCTCACATGGTATTATGGGTTCTTGCCCTACACTTCTAACCCCTTCTTTCTGGTGGACATCGATGTTGATTCTGAGTTTTGCTCTCACAGATAGTGTTGCTGTGACTACCTTTGTGAATTCACGTAAGCATTTCTGTAAGATTTGCTCTTAAAAGAGGAATTGCCAGCGCAAAGGGCGTGTATCTTTAAGCATTTGGTCAGCACAGTCTGACCTCCCAGAAGGCGATACTCACTGACATTCCCACCAGGGGTACAAGGGCCTGCTTGCCTCATACTTTCAGAGTTAAAGGTTCACCTCTTGCTGCCTACCTTTAATACTTGGAGGAGCCGTGCTTTCAGTGAAAATGGGCTTACTCGTGACCGCTGATACCAGCAGCATAGATGTGGCTTCAGTCACAAGTGATTCTCCTGGAAGCAGATCAAAATTCCGAGGAATCCCAGAAGTCTCACTCTTTACAAGGGGAATCTTTCCTTAATAGGACATTTTCTTGATGTTGGTTTACTCTAGTGATTCCCCATTTTAGAGAGTTTTTTTAAATTAATATATGTTTTAAATACTATTTGAGTAAAACTTTTAAGTTTTTTTTTTTTTTTTTTAATTTTATTTTTAGGTAATCTCTACACCCAAGGGATGCCTGGGTGGCGTAGTAGGTTAAGCATCTGTCTGCCTTCAGCTCGGGTCATGATCCCAGGGTCCTGGTATCGAGTCCCACATCAGGCTCCTCACTCAGCGGAGAGCCTGCTTCTCCCTCTGCCTGCCACTCCCCCTGCTTGGGCTCCCCCTCTCTCTGGCAAATAAATAAATAAAATCTTTAAAAAAAAAAAAATCCCTACACCCAATGTGGAGCTTGAACTCACAACCCTGAGATCAAGAGTCACATGCTTCACCAGCTGAGCCAGCCAGGCCACCCCAGTTTTGTTTTTGCTTCTTTAAAATACTACACCCAATGTGGGGCTTGAACTCACTACCCTGAGATCAAGAGTTGCATGCTCTACCCACTGAGCCAGCCAGGGGTCCCTGAGTAACTTTTGAAAAGGGTATTCTAGTCTGTGTACAGATGAGTGCAGACCCCCTCCTCCTGCTGGAAAGGCCTGGTAAGGTTGAAGAAGCCTATGCTGGGCAGCTCCCCTTCCCATGCCTCCCCAACCCCACCCCCATATCGCCCCCACCACCACCGCCTGAGACTCTGGGTTGGCCCCTTGTGTCTGTAAAACGTGGCTTTTCCTGGGCAGCAGCCAGGGCTGAGGTGTGGCGGGGCTAGGGCACTTCCTCCTGTGAATCAGTGTGAGCTGGAATGGGTGATCAAGCAGTAATAGCTCTTTTCCTCTGCAGAACCATCCCCCTTCTCTCCTCCCTTCCACCTCCTGCCTGGGCTGTAGGTTTCTGTTTTCTCGGGGAAGTAGTTGTCACAGTGATGTGGATACTTCTGTTTGTGTAGCGCTTTCCTCCTTCAGCAGCTATCACTCCCATTACCTTAGTTAATCTTCACAATAACCTTGTGAGTCAAGATCCCCATTCATCCTAAAGTCTGGTCACACAATTCCTGATACATGTGTTTGTTTGCATGCTTTTTTTTCCCCCTTCCTCTTTTCCTTCCTTCCTCTCTCTCTCTTTTTTTCTTTTTTTGTTTTTAGATTTACTATGGAACATGAAGGTAAAACGCAGATGGTTACTTGGCTTCCCTCTTACTGGAGCCGGTTGAGAAAGGAGCTTAGTTATGTTTGCCTTTGAGACAGAAAGTGTTTCTGTAGATGAGCTAGATGTACTCTCTTGCTAGCTTTTCCTGACAGTTTTTATTTCATTTGTTTTTCTTTGGGGTTGGGAGAAAGAAGAATACTAATGAGACATGAGACAGGTATCAGGGCCCAGAGGAGGGAGCCCTGGTTGGAGATTGAGACTTTGATCACTTGTGTCTCCCTTTGAATATAAAGATGAGTAAGAGAAATGAATGTATTTGAGAAGAAAGTTGCTCCTTAAAAGTACAGAATTTCAGTTTTTCTTGACATCATGGTCCAGGTAAACCACCTTCCAAGGGAGTATGCCTCTGGGCCAACTACAAGCAGTGAGCTGCTGAGGGACAGAGCTGGTTTGACAATAGGCCAAATATCAAAAACTCTCTTGTTGGTGTAGGGATGGTAATTACTGTGAAATTTTTAGAAACTATCCTAAATACTAATCTGGGAGTCTGGGTGACGCAGCCACTTCCTTCCTTAAGAATGCTCTCTCTCCTGTCCTGTTTTTCCCATTTAGGTAACCAGAGAAGACAAAGAACTGCACAGAAAGATCCACCATATCATTCAAGAAGACTGCCAGAAACCAAATCGTAAGTGGTGGAATGTACATGTATGTGGTGCCCTGGTGCACTGGAGGGGGATATTCCCTCCCAGAGAGCACTGGATGGAGAGTCAGGAGACCTGGGGCTTTCCCCAGTAGTGACTTGGAAATATGATTGGTCCAGACACCTGCCCTCTCTGACCCTCAGTCTCTTCTTCTGTACAGTGAGCGTTAGACTCTCACAGTTGTTCTGACCTTAGCTTCATGTACGACTTGACCCTGGAGCTTCTTTAAACATGCAGTGCTCAGGTCCCAGCCCTGGGGATGCTGATTCATTAGGGGCTGGGACAGGAGCTGGCCAGGGCAGCGTCTCAGGTGACTGCAGTACAGTGAGGTAAGCCACCAGGCTAGGACTTTTCTTGACCTTCTGGTTCTTAATGTTGTCTGATTTGTCTTCTTCTACTCTTGCCCCTCATCTTTGAATGCAGACAAGGCAGTTTCCTCTCTCCTGCCATCAAGCCTTTCTGTGTTAGGAGAAATGGTTCTAGACATTATATAGTTTATGCTTAGTGTAATTTAGTCATCTTGGAACCTGGTAATTTGCAGAAGAAATGTTTAAAATACAGTTGGTTTTAGTGGAGTTAGGTCAACCCCTAGTGGTTAGAAACTCAAACTGTAGCTAGTCTGACAACAGACATTACCATTTTCACACTAGTTAGAAAGAGAAGAAAGCACTACTCCTATCTTTAAATCCTGTGTAAACTGATCGACTTCAAGGTGACTTTTCAAAGTCTGTCTTTTGTCAAACGTATGCTGATAATGAATGTTGGCATTTGTCAACAAGGGAGGCTGGGAGAGAAGGGGAAAGACTTGTGAATGACTGCAGTTCTCCTCAGCCTGCTTGCTTTCTCTCCAGAGAAACCCACCCCCAGCCCTTTCAGCCCCTCCATCCCTGGGGCCTGGCCCTGCTCCAGGCTGAGTCAGCGGGCGGAGCTGGGCCAGGTCTCCGGCCCTGGTGTTTATGGTATGCAGCCCTACTTAGCCTTTAAGAACCCATGAGGTCAGATCCCAGAATGGTGTGACAACAGATCTTAAAATAAACTGAAAGCAATCTATTATTTTAATGCAGAATTTCTGGCTTTTGTTCACATCATTCAGAACAACAAGGATGGGTCTCCTTGAGTTGGGGGAGGACTTGTCCATCCACAATTTAGGGAGCTTTAAAGAGCAGTGAACTGTGGAGTTCCTCAACCAAGAAGAGATAAGAGATGAGAAGCTGCTCCCCAGATAGACTCCCTGCACCCATTCTCCTCGTTGGCCACCTGGCCAGATCCTTACTTTGATCTGCACTAGGAACAGGATAGATTGAAATAATCCCAGTGCCTGGTGAAGCGAATGAAAGGAACTCACACTGCATTTCTCAGGAGAGCCAAACTCCCTGTGGCCTGAGAGTCTGCAAAAGTGGCAGGTTTTCCTTCCCCTCCTAACCCCCAGACCTGCCCCAGCCCTGGTGAATGTGTGTGTCAAGGTGGATCCCCTGTGCCCCTCAGTCTGTATGTGGGGGCCTCTGACAGCTGTAAGCTAGGCCCCGGAACTAGGAAACTCTGAGGAGCTGAATTCTGGAGCATGAAGAACTGAGACTGCCGGGAAAAATACCTCGTAGGGACTGTCTTGGCATCTGTTGTGACCACTCGTCCTAGAAAATATCTGTGATATATATATATATATATATATATATATATATATATATATTCTGAGTAATCATGTATGGACATGGTAAAAGTCAGACAGTGCAAAGTGCACACAGAAAATCAGAATCCCTCCGAACCCCGAGCCCCAGGCTCTGTGTTCTCACATCCAAAGCCAGTGGGTGTTACTAGTTTCCCGCCTGTCGTTCTAGAGAGGTTATGTACACGTACAAGCATATTGGTGTAGTTAAAGCCCCATAAGTAAAGGTTAGCATACAATACTCAGTGTTCCACACTTTGTATCTTAAATCTAACATTGGCTTCTAGAAGTCATTCAGCAGCAGCACATCCAGCACTGCCCCAGTCTTCTTAATACCACACAGGATTCCATTATATGTATAGATAGATCTTCAACCTCTCAATCATTCCTACTGGGCCTTTAGTGTGTTTCTGACCTTTTGTACAAAATACAGCATTGAGTTTTTCCTTATCAGGATGATCAGTAGGACGTAAACTCTTTAGTCATTTAGGAGTATTTCAGTAAACGGATAAACTTAGAATAAGGAAAGGACTATAAACGTGAAACCTGTTTTCAGTCCCTAAAGCACTGATCCTGGGCTTGTTCAAAGACCGGCAGCATGGCAGAGTTGTGAAGAGCTGGGCTCTGGAGCCCCCTTGCCTGGGTTTGAATCCCAGCTCTATCACTTTGTAGCTGTGTGATCTTGGGTAAGTCTGTGCCTCAGTTTCTTTCTTTTTTTTTTTAAGATTTATTTATTTTAGAGAGCGTGTGAGTGGGAGGAGGGGAGAGGGAGAGAGGGAATCTCAAGCAGACTCCCTGCTGAGTGCAGCGCCTAACACAGGGCTCGATCTCACGACCCTGAGATCATGACCTGGGCTGAAATCAAGAGTCGGATGCTCAACCAACTGAGCCACCTAGGCACCCCTCTTTTTTTTTTTTTAGTTAAGTATAGTTGACCTACAATATTATATTAGTTTCAGGTGTACAATATAGTGATTTGACATTTATATACATTACAAAGTGATCACCATGATGTCTAGTTGTCTGTCACCATACATAGTTATTAAAATATTAATGACTATCGTCCCTATTTACATCCCTGTGACTATTTTATAACTGGAAGTTTGTGCCTGTTAATCCCCTTCACCTATTTCATCCATCCCCTCGCTTCCCTCCTTCCTCTCTAGCAACCCCCAGTTTGTTCTCTGTATTTATCCGTATTTATGAGTCTGTTTCTGTTTTGTTTGTTGGTTTTGGTTTTTAGATTCTACATATAAGTGACATCATATGGTATTTGTCTTTGTCTGACTTATTTCACTTAGCATAATACCCCCTAAGTCTACCCATTGTTGTCGCAAATGGCAAGATCTCATTCTTTTTTATAGCTGAGTAATGTTCCATTGTATATGCACACCGTATCCTTCCTTATTCATTCATCTATCGATGGACACTTAGGTTGCCTCCATATCTTGGCTATTGTAAATAATGCTGCAATGAATATAGGGGTGCATATATCTTTTAAACTAGTATTTTCATTTTCCTCAGATAAATACCCAGAAATAGAATAGCTGGATCACATGGTATTTCTATTTTTAATTTTTTGAGGAACCCCCACACTGTTCTGCACAGTGGCTGCACCAGTTTATGTTCCCACCAATGGTGCAAGAGGGTTCCCTTTTCTCCACATCCTCTCCAACACTTGTTATTTCTTGGCTTTTTGATTCTGGCCATTCTGACAGGTGTGAGGTGATATCTCATTGTGGGTTTGATTTGCATTTACCTGATGATGAGTGATGTTGAGCATCTTTTCATGTGTCTGTTGGCCATCTGTGTGTCTTCTTTGTAAAAATGTCTATTCAGGTCTTTTTTTGGGGCACCTCGTTGGCTGAGTGGTTGGGTGTCTTGAGTTTGGCTCAGGTCATGATCTCAGGGTCCTGGGATCAATCGAACCCCACGTCAGGCTCCCTGCTGAGGGAGCCTGCTTCTCCCTCCCCCTCTCCTGCTCCCCGTGCTTGTGCTCTCCTCGCTCTCTCTCTCTCTGTCAAATAAATAAAATCTCTAGAAAAAAAATTGGATTGTTTGCTTTTTTGGTGTTGAGTTATATGAATTCTTTATATATTTTGAATATTAACCCCTTAAAGATCTATCATTCACAAATATTTCCTGTTCAGCAGGTGCCTTTTTGTTTTGTTGATGGTTCCCTTTCTGTGCAAAAGCTTTTTAGTTCAGTCTAGTCCCAATTGTTTATTTTTGCTTTCGTTTCCCTTGCCTGAGGAGACAGATCCAAAAAATACTGCTAAGGCTGATGTCCAAGAGTTTACTGCCTATGTTTTCTTTTAGAAGTTTTATGGTTTCAGGTCTTATTACATTTGGGTCTTTATTCCATTTTGAGTTTATTTTTGTGTATGGTATAAGGAAGTAGCCCAGTTTCATTCTTTTGCATGTAGCTGTCCAGTTTTCCCAGCACCATTTATTGAAGAGACTGCCATTGTATATTCTTGCTTCCTTTGTCATAGGTTAAGTGACTGTCTACACATGGGTTTATTTCTGGGTAGTCTATCCTGTTCCATTGATATATGTCGGTTTTTGTACGAGTACCATACTGTTTTGATTACTACAGCCTTATAGAATAGTTTGAAATCTGAGGGCATGATACCTCCAGCTTTGTTCTTTTTCAAGATTGTTTTGGCTGTTTGGGGTCTTTTGTGGTTCTGTTTTTGTTCTAGTTCTTTGAAAAATTCTGTTGGCGGGTGCCTGGGTGGCTCAGTTGGTTAAGCGACTGCCTTCGGCTCAGGTCATGATCCTGGAGTCCCGGGATCGAGTCCTGCATCGGGCTCCCTGCTCAGCAGGGAGTCTGCTTCTCCCTCTGACCCAAGCCCCTCTCATGCTCGCTCTCTCTCTCTCTCTCTCTCTCTCTCATTCTCTCTCTCAAATAAATAAATAAAAAACTTTAAAAAAAAAGAAAAATGCTGTTGGTATTTTGATAGGATTGCATTGAATCTGTATTTTGCTTCTGGTAGTATGGACATTTTAACAATATGAATGCTTCCAATCCATGAACATAGAATGTCTTTTCCATTTATTTGTGTCATCTTCAATTTCTTTCATCAGTGTCTTATGGTTCTTAGAGTACAGATCTTTCATCTCTTTGGTTAAGTTTATTCTTAGGTATTTAATTCTTTTTGATGCTATCATAAATGGGATTGTTTTCGTAATTTCTCTTTCTGATAGTTCGTTTTTAGTGTATAGAAATGCAACCAATTTCTGTATATTAATTTTGTATCCTGCAACTTTACTGAATTTGTTTATTAGTTCTAATGGATTTTTGGTGGACTCTTTTGGGTTTTCTATATAGAGTATCACGTCATTTGTAAATGGTGACAGTTTTACTTCTTCCTTAGCAATTTTAATGCCTTTTATTTCATTTTTTTTCCTGATTGCTGTGGCTAGGGCTTCCAGTACTATGTTGACGAAGGTTTGCCTCATTGTCTTTATATGCAAAATGGGGATAATAATAGTATCCACATGATGGGTTGTTATGGGCATTAAATACATTGGTAGAGTAGGAAGTACCAGCAATCTGTCTCTCCACTTAAGACAACAATTGCATCTGCCCAATGTAACTATATTGGAACTCTCGAGTCTACTGAAGGCTTGCAACTTCAGGGGAGGGCTTGGAGAGTAAATTGGGGATAATTTCAGTCAAGTTTTAGCTTTTAGTAGCAGGTACCATTTCCTCAAGAAATGCTCAAGGGCATCCAGTGTAGTGAAATAAAAGGACACTAGACAGTAACTCAGAGCCATGTGAAGAAATAGAGATCCCAGTAATGGTAAATACATGGACAATTATGAAAGCTAATATTTAATAGCAATGGTTTATAACTTCACTTTGATTTCTGTATGATTTAAGAGGCTAATACATTGTGAAAAAATAATTATTAGTCTACTTACATTATTGTAGCCTTGGTTTTTAATTCCACATTTTGTTTTCTATGTAATTTAAGAGACTAATGAATTTAAAAGAATACTTAGTTTATGTTCTTGGGCAACACAGTGTGTAAAGATGTAATTTTGTGACATCAACAACCGAAAGATGTGGGGATAGAGCTGTAAAGGAGCAGAGTTTTTCTGTGTTGAAGTTAAATTGGAATACATTCAAATTAGGATGCTGAGTAATCCCCATGGTAACCACAAAGAAAATAGCTATAGAATATGCACAAAAGGAAATAAGAAAGGAATTTAAACATTTCACTAAAAAAAAAAAAAATCAGCCAAACACAAAAAGAATTCAGTAATGCAGGAAACAAAGGACAAAAAGTTATAAGGCATATAGAAAACAAATAGCAAAATAACAAAAGTAAGTCCTTCCCACCCCCCCACCCCCCCAACAGTAATTAGTTTAAATCTAAATGGATTTAACTCTCCACTCAAAAGACAGATTGGCAGAATGGATTAAAAAAACATGCTCCAACTCTATGCTATCTACAGAAGACTCACTTTAGATCCAAAGACAAATGGATTGAAAGTCAAAGGGTGGAAAAAGATACCCTGTGCAAATAAAAGTAACCAACAGAGAGCAGGAGTGGCTATACTAATATCAGACAATACCAACTTTAAAACCAAAAAGTTTACAAGAGACTAAGAAGGGCATTATATATTATTAAAAGTTTCAATACAGCAAGAAGATACAGCGATTATAAACATTTATGTACCTAATGACAGACCATCCAAATAGATGGAGCAAAAGTTGACAAAATTGAAAGGAGAAATAAATAGTTCTACAGTCATAGTTGGGGACGTCAGTACCCTACTCTCAATAATGGATAGAACAAGCAGACAGAAGATAAGTAAGGAAATAGAGAACTTGAACACTACAAGAAATAAGCTAAATCTAACAGACCTACACAAAACACTCTCTCCAACAATAGAATACATATTCTTGTCAAGTGTACATGGGGCATTTTCCAGGATAGACCATATGTTAGGCCACTAATGAAGTCTCAGTAGATTTTAAAAAATTACCATACAAAGTATCTTCTCTGACCACAATCGGATGAAGTTAGAAGTCAGTGACAAAACTGGAAAATTTAACAAATTTGTGGATATTAAACAACACTCCTAACTAGTAAATCGAAGAAATCACAAAGGACATTGGAAAATAGCTAGAGATGAATGAAAATGAGACTACAACATACCAAAACTTAGAGATGCAGCACTAAAGGGAACGTTATAGCTACAAACACATTAAAAAAAAGAGGGATCTCAAATCAAAACCTAACTTCTAACAATTTAAGGAACTAGAAAAAGAAGAACAAATTAAACCCAAAGCTATCAGAAGAAATTAAAGATAAATGAAATGGAGAATAGAAAATAATAGAGAAAATGAAACCAGAAGTTGGTTCTTTGAAAAAATCAACACAATTGCCAAACCTTTAGCTAGAGGAACTAAGAAGAAAGAGAAACGACTCAAATTACTAAAATCAGAAATGAAAATGAGGACATTAGTACTGGTTCTCCAGAAATAAAGAAAGACTGTGAAAGAGTACTGTGAACAATTGCGTGCTAACAGACTGGATAACCAGATGAAACGGGCAGGTTCCTAGAAACACGGAACCTACCAAGACTGAATCACATAGAAAAAGGAAATTTGAGTAGAGCTATAACTAGTAAGGAGATTGCATCAGTAACTAAAAATCTACCGACAAAGAAAAGCTCTGGACCTGATGGCCTCACTGGTGAATTCTACCAAACACTTAAAGAGAAACTAAAACCAGTCCTTCTCCCCATGTGACTGGAAGGGCCCTTGGTGAGCACCCTTCCCAAACAGCAGCATGGCCTTTCTGAAGAGATAGTTCAAGGCCTTCAGGGCAGTCAGGATCACTGCTTAGAGGAGCCCCACATATGTCCTATGTAAGTCCTCTTGAGCCCTGAGCTTGGGCATGCAGGCCCTGCAAAGATGGATTAAAAGCCAAGCGGTGGTGAGAGTCCTAGTGCTGTGCTCCCCGTCTGCTGTGTGCAGACCCAGTTTGGTTGGAGCCCCTTTCCACCCTCCAGTATCACCCTTCTCAGGAAGAGCTGAAGCTGCTTTAGAGCAGGGACTAGGTTATGTGTGTCATCTTAGGTTATGGAGATGACAACAGAATCATAGTCATTCCCATGTAAGGAGCACAAGCCACGGGCCTCCTTTGATCCCCACAGCCACCGGTGAAGTAGGTGATTTTTCTCCCCATCTTACAGATGAGGAAACAGACCCAGAGACGTGAGCCACACTGCCTCTGTCGGAGCCAGTACTTGAATTTGGGTCTGGTGGCCTCTGGAGTCTGCTCTCCATCTGTCACTTGCTCCTCCTTACTCTGCACTACACACATAGTAGGTGTTCAGGAAGTCTTTATTGAATGAATGTTGAAGGAACAGCCTGGAAACCAGTGAAGGTGGCAAGTTTTTCAACAGTAACCCCAACTGGGAGGGATAATGAGTGGACAGGGCCACTAGAGGTCAGAATTTAGCAAGTCTTTGTTAACTCTGGAGCATGGTTTGGGATATTCTCTGACCCTTAGAGCTGGAAAGAACCCCAGAGGTGCCCTCACCCCCTTTATAGTCCCTCCCCCTCCTCACTGGTGAGAAAACTCGGGCTCAGAGATGCTGTGAGTTGCCCAAGGCCACAGAAGTGCACCACCTCCCAAACCATGCTTTGCCCAACACCACGATACCTCTTTAATCACCTTCCTGGAGCCCAAAGCATTTTGTTCTCTGAAAACAACCTTCGGTGACTGTGTGGCACAGCAGGTGTGCCAGATGCTGGGGAGACAACAGAGGGGCCAAGCTTGGCCCTGCATGGCGCTTGAAGTGAATCTGGGGAGGCTTTGTTTTCAGTAATGAGGTTTGACTTTGACTCCGAGTTACAAATGCATTTTACATCATGACCCAGTACATTATATTTACATATATATGTACATTCACATATAAAATGTATTTTATATATATATAAATATACATATTTTTAAGTATGTATGCATATATGAATATTTATATATATAAAAAGTTTCACAAAATAATACGCTATAATGCAATGCATTTTGTAATTTCCTATTCCCGTCTTTCTTACTCTGTTGGTAAGGAAACAGTTGCTAATCACAGCCCATTATGTTGATTTCATGACCCTCCGTAGTGGTCAGAACATCACCGTGCATTCCACTACTCTAAATCATTGGTTTGAACTAGGAAAGAGGTTGCTAACCGTGAACTTTTATCATTGTATACCAAATGGTCTTGGGTTTTTTGGGGTGGAGGATAAGAGATTTCTAGAATACAACCATCATAGACAGGACTGCTTGGAAGCCTAGGCAGAGAAGAATGAGAACAGATCTGTGGTCAGAATCCCTTCTCTAGGCTGTTATGTCAGTCAGGACTTAACGGGAAAGACCCCGGAGGCTGCCGTAAACCAGCTCTGCTCTCAGTCTCAGGAGGGCTCCCACCTGGAAAGCTATGGGTTCGGCTCTGAATAGGTGCACTTATACATGTACCTGCACTAAGAAAAAAGATTAAAAAAATCCATTCAGTTACAGATAATCAATTATCGATTAGCAGCCCTTGGAGATTGAAGGCCTCAGTTCCTGAGCAGCGGGTCCACGTCATGTGGCTAAATAAGGGGCCTGAGAACAGGGCTTTTGTTTTGTTTCTGCTGGTAATCTAAACCAGTGCATCTCCAACTTTACCGAGCTTAAGAATCACCAGGATCTTGTGAAAATGCAGGGGCAGGGCCGCGGAGGGGGAGGAGGGTCTGACAGGTGTGCCAAGCTTAGCCAACTGCCTTTTTCCCAGCAGATGCAGAGAAGGGCTGCCACTTTCAGCACATCTTGGCCTGTGCTCGCCTAAGTGTCAGCCCAGACCTGAGTGAAGGTGTGCTGCAGCAGGTGCTGGAGCTCCTGGAGGACCAGAGTGACATCGTCAGCACCACGGAGCACTACTACACTGCCTTCTGAGGAGAGGCCTGCAGATGGCGTGGGCGGGCCAAGCCAAGGAAGACAACGAGCAGGTGGTAGGCGCTCCCAGGCTCAGATTTGAAACATCACGGAGAGGCTTATAGGTCTGGCGGCAGTGATCTCATAATAAACTGTGAAATATGGCCCTTAAATGACCATATTTTAAGGAATGGAATTTGGCATAAATTCTGTAGGCTGCCCTCTAGCTGCTGTATCCGTGGGATAAAGTAATTTATCTCAGCCATGACATAGAAGAAGAAAACCCTCCCTGTTGACCTCTTGCCTGGACCGGGCGTTGCTCTTAAAGCAGAAGGGAGGGAACACTGTTGGTGGCTGAATTGGTGTGTATGTGGCTTGAGGCTCTGTCATGGTAAAGGATGCCACATGGTAAAGTGAAGTGAAGAGCATCTAGCCAGATCACACAGACCTAAAACATTTGAAAACTCAGACTATTGCATATGTTCTTGTAGGCCTCTCAGTGGTTAAGAACCTAGTGTAGGGAACTCCTCCTTGGATGAGTATCACTCACCTATGATTTCTATGGATCAAGTACCAGAGGTGGGTCCTGAGTCCTGGGATGAATGTTGTTTACAGACCCACCCAGAGATGCGAATAAATGGATCCAAGGCATGGCTCTGTGTTGGTCATTTTCCTTCTTTTCCTTTTTTTTTTTTTTATTAAGATTTTATTTATCTGACAGCACAAGTAGGCAGAGTGGCAGGTGGAGGGAGAGAGAGAAGCAGACTCCCCGCTGAGCAGGGATCCTGACTTGGGGCTCGATCCCAGGACCCTGGGATCATGACTCGAGCTGAAGGCAGCTGCTTAACCGACTGAGCCACCCAGGCGCCCCTTTCCTTCTTTTCCTTATGAACTAAGAGGTGTCTCAGTACATTTCCCTACACTTGATATACGTGACTAAAGACATTCTCCTTTAATGCCCTGAAGTCCTTGGAGGCTCTCAGCCAGTTGCCTGGCTGGTAGACATTATTTTCAAGGTCACCACTGAATGTGCAGGGCGTTCTGACACCATCCAGACAAAGACTCTGTATTTGCCCAGACAGGTGATAGAGTCATGCTGTTGCTAGGAATGGCAAGGTAAAGGGAAAAAATCTGAGGTATGTGGTAGGCTTGTTCTAACAACTAAATGACAAATCCAGCCAGCAAAAATAAAGTATGTGGAAAGATTTGGAGTTAATTACAGTCATTTCAAAAACACATCTGCCTTTGTCTGCTACATTTGCTCTTGACGTAATAAGCTCTTAGTGGCTCTGCTGGAGAGGCTGCAGGCCTCGAGTTGTTCTGCTCTATGTGGAAATGGAGTGGCTTTTTATACTTAGAATTTGGCTGCAGTTTCATATGTCAGGCTGAGAGCTAGTACCAACAGATTGCTTCCTGTCGTGGACTTTTCTGCCTTGATCCAAACATCTGCCCTATTTCTAACAGCCATTTACCCAGATGGCTGCCCTGTGTCCTCCATGCATTCAGATGCGTCCCCGTGGCATGGTGTCTACCTGGAATGATACCCCAGCTATCTTCCTTGGTAACAGCAGATGTTCCTTACTGAATACATCGTGAGTTATAGGGCTGCCCAGGAAGGAGTCTTGAATCAGCAACCCCACTTCCAGGGTTTATCCCAAGGAGATGATCAGACAGGTGTGAAAGGAAGGATACAAGATTCGCACTGCTGCGTAATTTAGAGTTCTATAATTGGGAAAAATAGTTATCCATAAGGAAAAATTCATTATGATACACGTACACAGTAAAATACTGTGCAACTATTAAAAGATGGAGTAGACAGATACTATTGCTATGGAACACTCTTCCCAAGAAAACAGAGTTACGGATCTGTTTATATAGTATACTATTGATCTAAAACGACTTCTAAGTATTTATCGAGAGAGAGAGAGAGTTTCTGCATCTATATTGGTATAAATGTGGCACGTATATACACCTACATACAGTCGATCACTCCCCCCTTCTAGAAATCCTTTCTGCACTTGGCTTTTGGGACACCACACTCTGGGTGCTCTTCCTCCATCTCCTTTTTCTGGTCTTCTATCTCCCTGAGGGCTTGGGGTTCAGTCTTGCCCTCAGTCCTGTGCAGCGGCCCCCTTGGACGTCACTGGTAGCGTGGCTCAGACGGTACGTATGCTGACAGACTCGCCACATTTTACCCAGACCCCCGCGTGCGCAGCTTCCTGCTGACATCTCCACTTTGGTGTCTGAGAGACCCCACCCACGTGCCCACAACCAGGTGCCCAGTCACCCCTGCCCGAGGACTTGCTCCTTCTGAAGATTTTCCTGATTCAGAAGATGGCAGCCCCATCTTTCCAGTTGTGCAGGCCAAACACTCCACATCCCACCTGTCCACCAGTCACCTTGTCTCTACCTTCTAGATACTTCTAGAATCTAAACTCTCCTCACTGCTGCTCTACCACTTGGAGTATTGCGGTTGCGTCCTGACTCAACTCCCACCCCGGCCCCTCGTCACTTCGTTCTCCACACGTCCGCCAGAGCTATCTGTTCAACTGAAGCCAGATTGTCCCCTCCTGTGGGTCTTCACTTGAGCGTCACCCTCTTGCTAAGGCCTGCCCCGATCCCTCTTTTGCTAAGTAGAACCAACCCCTTCTCCATCCTTCCCAGGACTCTTTAGTACTTAACTTTTCTCCGCAGTCCTTGTCACCATGTAACACATTCCATGTAGTTCTTCCTTGCTTTGTTTATTATCTGTCTCCCCGACAGAAGAAATGCTCCGTGAGGGCAGGACTCCCTCTGTTCTGATTCCTGCCGTGTCCCCTGCACCTAGAGCAGTGCCTGGCATATCTTTGCAGCCATACCGCTCCTGTGTATGTGCCTGGCTGCCCTCTACCTGCAAGTATTTTCCTTTCTTTCCTGGGGGCTTTCTCCAGTGGCTTGGAAGGCTGTTCAGGCTGGAAGTGCTCAGAATTAAACCCACTGGGAGCAGTCTCACCCAGTGGGACCTGGGATATAAATACCCCAGCTCCCTTGCCCTTCAAATGAGATCTCTGAGGCACATGTTCTACACCATTTTCCAGAGTTTCTCTGTGGGATTAATCTCCATCCACCCACAGTAGCAGCTAACTGGACAGCCACCCTTAATTGGCTGCCTTACCCTCCCTGTCTTCACCACCCCCCATTAGCATTTGCTGCACCTCCCAAATGAATTGCTTCCTTTCCAGTCCTTGTCTCACGGTAAGCTTCTGGTTGATCACAAATAACACCATGTTCACGAGTACATTTGAGAAATGCTGTGTGAATAATTATGTGTGTGTGTGTGTGTATATATATATATATATCTCAAGCAGAGATTACTAGAAAAACCAAAGTGACCCACTTGTTACTCCTGAAAGGTGAGCTATCAGATGCTTTTTAGCTACATATCTCTATTTGATATTTTTACAATTAGCAAGTGTCAATAAAGCTGTTTCTCACTCCCCATCCCACACTCACACAACCTGAATGATGAGCAAACCAAAAATAAGATGGACCTTATATCCCATAGCAACATAAGAACTCTGAGATGAGGGGAGCCCTTGGAAAATTCTCTGGGGCTAACTAGAGTTGGGTCATTGCTCATGCGCTAAAGAGGCACCAAAGGCTTCCCCTGAAAAAGAGGGAAACTGAGCCAACATCCTGGCTCTTAGTGTGCACATTTCAGGAGGCATGAACACTGCATATAGTTTATGGAAGCAGGAAGACAGTGCTACTGTCTGGTCGGGGTTTGTTTGAAGCTCTGTGATTCTCTCCATCTGGTAAGCTACCAGTGCTTCTCATCCCTAAAAGATACTTCTTTCTAATTATTTTCCCCTCTGATAGTGTGCCAGGACACTGGCCGAGAGAGAGCCAAGTGGAAAGAAGTCTATTCAGTGATGAGGAACCCAAGATGTGGTGCCAACGATTGAAACCAAGCAAACTTGTAATTTTCCGTCGGGGAAAGTGTCCACACTTTCTTAATAGTGTGGTTTCTCCTCTACAAGTGGTCTCTACAGCAGTTCCCCAAAGAAGCATCTCATTGTTTCCCTACTAGATTAATGTGAAGCATATGGGCAGACTCCGAATGACCGGGACGAGGCTTGCTCGGGAAGCCAGCAGCAGGCGCTGGGAGGAGAGTGGGACCATCCCAGAGGGAAACGGTGCCCATGGATGAAGGGCCTTGCAATAGAGTTCATATTCACATGACAGTCTACTCTAAATGCAAGCCTGAACTCCCACACAAGAGAGTTTTTATATAGTGCAGAATTTAGTTTTAAATACAGCCTATTTTTATTGAACTTCTATTAAATAAACCCAAACAGGTAAGTCATAGCACAGCACAAAGCTGTGTTCACAAGAATTCTAAATCAGACCCCAAATTCCTGAAGAGACCGAAGTCTTTTCATGTGTGTCAAATTAAAGTGCTAGGTTTTCATCTTGGAACATAGAGGAATTTTGACGACCACATAATAGCTTTTTCTTTTAGATAGTAAAGTCGCATGTCATTAACTCAGACTGATTTGGTGAAAGGTTTATGTAAATTAGTGAAAAATCTGGAAATAGTGCTATGTTGTTACTTTAAGTCTATGCAGTGTTCCGTGTGACATCTGAATTACTATGAGGGAACAGGTTGGCTGCTCTCGGAAAACCTGTTTTAATGAATAAGAATTATTTTAATTATGTATCATTTAATTATGTGGGTACGTGCTGTTCAATATTAATAGATGATTTTAAAGTACTTGAACTTAAGAGATTTGAGAACATGTCCACACAAAAAATTCTATGTCAGTGTTGACAACACTCATTCCTAATAACCAAAAAGTGAAAACAACCCAAATGTCCATGAAGGGATGAATGGATAAACAAATGTGCATCTATATGATGGAATATTGTTCAGCCACACAAAGGAATGGAATACTGATACACACTCCATGGATGAACCTTGAAAACGTTATGCTGAGTGAAAGATGCCAGATACAAGAGGCCACATTGTGTATGATTCCATT